AATAGTTGATCACATGAACCCATGCCACCGTGTCATCAACGGGAGGCGGCGCCAGTTTGTGGAATCGCCGACTGTCGACTGTAAACTCCACACATCTCTATTGTCCACTTGTCTGTAGACGTCACCGGAAGGGTGTGCCTGATGATATTGAATCTGTCATCGCCATTTTGCAGAGGCTCCGTTGGCTGCCACATGCTGGGCACCATTCACATTTGTTCGCTGCTGTTGCATTCAGTTCACCCACTTTGACAAAAAACACTACCTAGACAGAAACTTCGTTTTTGTTAGGATCCCATCAGTGACACGTATTTTCATCCGAAATGTGAGCTGAGCATAGCGGCTGATTGATCACACTTGTCCGAAGCTTTGTCATAATCCCCTGGGTAATGTTCATGGTGCTCACCAATCTAGCATCAGCACTTCCTATTTAGACCTCGTCACCCTTAGACAGCGGACGTGATAAATGGATTATTTATTATTATAGCTCTATAGTACGTGATGCCTGTTGAAAAATTGCTACCTTCCAAAATGAAAGCAATAGATAGCACTTATGACATTAAGCAATCTCAGCTTTATTGGATTTCCGTGAGGTTATTTTATAGACAAGACTCAGGAGTAAAATGAAGAGATGCAATTGGCTCCGAACATCCCACTCCTCTATTGGGTGGCTCTATTCAATTTGTGACTTGTCTGTTTTTACGCCTGAAACACTCAAACAATCTGTTTTACTCAGGTGCTCATTATAGGAAAATCTGATTTGGTAGGTGCACTGATCTATCGGTTTGCCCGAGTGACCGACATTGATTGACTCCATTCTCCCAAAAATCATTAGTTGGCGTCAGTGAGTTCGTATGTTCCAGTCCCTTTACAATGCACATTGACCATTGACCGATTTTCATTATGTGATACGACCTATGGGCCCGAACTTTCGATCTGCAACCCCACGTCCTCCTTCCCTCCGGTTTCACGACGTAGGTTCAGAAAAAGTGCATTAGAAACTAGCAAAAATTCAAGGGTTTACATTCACTGTGCACTGTTATTATGTCGTGCACTCCCATTGCTCAGTCCTATTCGCTTGGATCCTGTGCACAGGTACACGCTGTTTTTTTTAATCCTTTTAATCCTGTTCATTTCGAATCAACCTTGTGGGTCTGAAAACTTGTCGGTTCTTCAGCACAGCACGAGTTACCCGGACTGTACTGGGTGTTGTCATTATCATTTTACTCATCAACAACGATACATCACATGTTGACACTGGTGCCTAATTGCTGTACAGTCAGTTTAGCTTTTAGATAAAATGAATAAAGATTGAGTGATATTGCGTTTATCCGATCGATTGGCATGAAAAACCAAGTCAGAGTTGTCAAACGCGCAGCTTTAGAAGATGGATCAGTAAACCGTTTGATGCAGCCAAAGTTCACTCAAACAAAATACGGACAGTGATAGTGGGATACGATAGGCAAAAATGTCAACCAGATACATGCACATCGACAATATTTATATAATATTATTATGTCGTTGGTCTGGGTGGTTATGGTTAACATTTTTGCCTGCTGCATCCTGCTATCACTTGCTGGACAAGCCGTGTCGTTCTATCCAGTCGACCATACCTCGATGAAAGCATCTGGGGGATCATGAATTCAAGGTTTCCGGTGGGTCGACGAAAACACTTGTATTTGTGAATATTCATCTAAACTTTGCTGGTTTATGCATACAGCTGAAGTGGATTTTAAATTGTTGCTAATCAGATTAGGACCTGCGCCTGATAATCAAGTGTTTTCTGGTCTTTTGTGTGCTCTTTCCGTTCGTGCAACGGTTTCGTTTCGTTATCTTTAAGGGAACGGCTGTAGATGTGATATGCTATGGCCTCCACAGGCCTCACTCACGTTTATTAAGTGTGGTTTCTTGTTCCATAACAAGGCTTGTTGATTTTAATGATTGCTTGTCTTGTTTCTGTGCGTACCATTTTTTGCGGCCCAACTTCAACTGGTTTGTAATTGATAATATTGCTAACCTTCTGTCAATTTTGTCCCATTTTCTGTTTACGCGCATTAGTCTGGTGGACCACCTTTGGGCCACATTCCTCCAGTCTCTATGGAGAACACGATCATGTTGGCTGCTTGTCGTGAGAACGAGGATTTGCCGCAGAACCCGGAGTTGCCAGCCGACTTGTTCACTGCCTGCTTGACCACGCCTATCCGTATGGCTCTACGCTGGCACTGGTTGCGTCATCAGGAGACATTTCCTGGTACGCACACATCCATATATATATATATATACTGCTGTATATACATATATATATGTATATATCTATTTATTATGTATTCTCTGCGGCAATGGTAGTACCGCTTATCATGTGTGATTTTTCATTCCCTTGACAGTCTTTCACATTTGACTTGTATATGAAAGCATTTCTCTAAAGTACCATTTCAGAACATGTACGGTGCAATTAGCCAGACTGTATCAGTTACCCGAATGCTCAAACCGTTTGTTTTGTACTATACATCTTATTTGACGGTATCGATGAGGACTGTTCTACGGCAATGTGGACGAAAAGTCGACTGTTGAGTGAACGTGTTGTCGCCATCCTGGTAAGAGACTGGATGAATGTCATCTGGTGTGAGAGAATCGTCAGGACGTAATGATATCTCGTGAATCATAACTTACTAATTTGTCTATGGTCATCATTCCGGAAACGCACACAAAAAGATTTCCTGCGGTGTTTCGAACTGCGAATCTACATAAATATTTTCAACGTTAACAATTCGGAATCCTTTTTCTTTTGCAACACTCTTGTCGAAAGCTACTCAAGGCGGATCACAATTTGTTCGTAACTTTGGGTTATCCTCATTCCACTGGTTGAAAACGTGTCAATCAGAATACACGCTTTTTCTACTTCTTTCGCGTTGTGTTTGGTGTGCACACTATCCAGCTTCATCAGCTTAGTTATAAGAGTTTCCCCAAATGCTCATCGTAAACATAGCACATTGAGGCAAACGCCGGCTGTCTGTTGTGGCCTGTGTGTCCGGATAGTTTTCGAGCATTGGCACACCTATTCTTGGATGGGTAAAATGCCAGTTTGCATGCATCGGCTTTCTTCAACGCATTGTATCCAACATGTATAGAGATTATGCAGCTTCACGTTAAATCGTTGTGCTGCGCGAAGTAGTCACGGGAACCTTTCGTCTCATCTCGTAGACCAGAAGCTTTTAGTCATGAGAACGATGCGAATGGTATGGCTGTACTGTAGAGCTTCCAGGTTCCTTTTAGTCATTGATACGCAGCTTGACTAGATCAGGTGTGTTGCAAGCCACTTTCATGACCGAGATTATGTGTGGTGGTTCATCAGCTAGCCAGACGAGAGAATAATCTTCTCAAACCTGTGTGCATTCTCATCGTCATACCTATTCATTCGAGTCACGTTAGTTATTCTTCGAGGCAACTCAGCCTCTGTAGATGATTCAGCTTTCTGTACTCCACTGTGTGATTCCTTTATCTTTGTATGGTTCTGGTCTCTTTGAGAGGCCTAATGTTTTGGATGATTAAAGAAGGCCTTTGCTGAACCGTAGTCGACTAGTGCAGTGTTGCTGAAGAACAGCAGTTGGCGAACGCATTTTTTAAGCTGTTGGTTCGTCACGGAACCTTCAGCAAAATGCCGTCTGAATCTGTCATGTTCGAGGGGATTCTTACGGACTATATAAAACTAACAACTAGTATCATGTAGGCATTGACTTTGGCCACTGACATCGTCGATACTTTTTTCTATCAAATAAGTTATAGACCTTAAAAAGTCAGCGCAACCTAATGTTTGTTAACCTTATGCAAGTTCACTTCTATAAATGTTGAATACTGTCAATCACACCAGCCCGTCATCTTTATATCCAGGGTATTAATCCAGACTGAGTCAGCTAGTGGACATTTACATCTGCCCTGTTTGGTTTGACCGAGGATCGTGGTGTCGTATGTACAACAGATCCACAATATAGTCTATCCTGCAATTTTAGGGTCATCTCTTTTTTGGTTAAAGTTTCGACAGTTTTACACAACATGATTTGCTCTTTGCATAGAGAGTAGAGATGTGAACTCGTGGTGTGAGCACGGTTTTCTCACAAAATAGTTAACTGTAGTTTTGCATATTAAGATGGCTACTCACCACCATTAGTTTATTTGACATGACGTTGTCTTTTCACGTTTGAACTGAGAGTGTTGCACAGTTTGAATTTTGAATTCTGTGCAGACCGCGTTGATAGCATCGACGGTAATTCGATGGATAGTATCTACAAATTGACTTCTCCCGAAAGTCGACCTCGTCTGTATAAAAAAATGTAATTGAGGGATTTGGGGCTGAATGAGGTTTTGATCTTGTGTGCAACTGGATGCTTACAGAACAAAAATCGTGTGATTTCCGAAACGATCGAACATTCAGATGGCGAAATATTATGTAGGACGGAAAAGGCCGGTAAAAACAGGGGCTATGCATCTCAAGCCATCAAGCTATATGTTGATGGAGCCATTGTTTCAGTCAAGGGTAACTATGAGTGAAGTATCTCCAATGGATACTGATACGCTCATCCCGAACCAAAAGTTGGTGCTAGTCTTTAAAATCTAGGTTTCACAGGATCATAGTGAGTTTGTTACTGTTTGCATATTGGAACGTTCGACGAATGCCGCTGTTGTTGAAGTATTTCAACAGCTTGAAGTCTTAATTGGGCTATCGATTCACGTGAACGTATCGGCTGTAGTAGACCATTCAACAATCGTGGGATGCTCGAAGTAAAACGGAACTTGGGAGTTTGATTAATAACATAAATGGACGCCGTGTTGAGACTGTGAAACGAAATGGAAATCATATTTGTTTAGATTCAAACAATGACATCAAAATATGAATGGTGCTACAATTGTGGAGCAACTTTTTTTGCCATTCTTAGGATTCATTACTATCATTAATAAGTAGTTCGGTCGATTAGTTAATGCAGAAGAGAATCAATTGTGAACAATCCGGGCTTCGGCTGAATTCGAACCAGCGACTGAAGCTGCATATCTAAACGCAGCAAGCGCTTTACCAGCTGAGCTACGAAGCCACGCCCTGAGCTCGGAAATTTCGTATTTGGACCCTGTTACCCACCCGCCCCGTCTCATGTTATCCCCTAAGTGATCCAGTGAAGTGATTGCCCAAGCAGGATTTCTCAAACTATTCACGTTGAAATCCACCAATGTCATTGCTAAGCATGGAAATCGTATTTCTAATAAGTAGTTTGGCAGAGAAATCCTACCGAGGCAGTTGATCTCCTTGAGCACTTTGTGAATTCCATATGAGACAATTAGACGAGTGGGTAACAGAGTCCAAATGTGAGATCCCCGAGCTTGCGTCATAGCTTCATAATTCAGTGTTTGGTCATGTTGTTTTTGTCGCTGCTTCAAAGCCCAGATTTTTCACAAATGGGTCTCTTCTAAACTTAATACCATGTTAAACCATTTTACTATAAACCTCTTCCCCGCCAAAGCTTGCCATTTTGTACTCTTTGTACGAACTCTTGAATTGATCAACACAAATTTCGTAGTTCGGGCCAAAACGTAGACTGTTCCATAATTGTGCGACGGTCTCGCTCTGCTTTCCACTCACCCTTGCAGTTGTCCTTACGACAGTCAATGTCGTCATAATCCGATTCGTTATTCCGCCGACCAGTTTAAGTGAACATGTTCGCGGTCGGGCTTATGTGATGTGAGTTTTTGATGCTATCTGTGTAGTATCTCACAGGGTTTGTGCTGGTTATATTCTGTGCGGGCCACATTTTTAACATCTACTGTTGAATGTGCGAGTCGATGCTGGCCATCAGATAGACATATCGGTTCTGCTCAACTTCACTCAATTTGAAGGAGCTGATGATATTTTGTTTGTGGATTGGATTATACTGATTAGTTGATCGAGCTCAAAAGTGCCTAGAGAGCACACTTATGTGCTTGTCTTAGTCAGGATATGTTTGTCCTCAAAAGTGCAGGTTTAATACAAACATCTTTATTACTAATCGTATGAGTCAAACAAACAACTAATTCCGTGATAATCCCCTGTTCTGCTTACTTGCAACTGGTTGATAGGCCATCTTTATAACCCTTGAATTTATCTCGAGCGTATTTATTCTATCATTATGTATACTATTTTTTTGGAGGGTGCGAAACTTCTTGCTTATCTTCACTGCACTTTAAGATGGTCTGAATAATGCGATGATTACACCGGTAGTGTCATTTATACCAACTCTCCCAACAACTAAAAGTATACTGAACTCCAGTCTTTTGACCCCATAGTTTTAAGGTTGGAATTGAGTTAACTTCTTAGTGTCCAGAACTAGATTGACTTTAGTTTATTGCTTTGTGATATAGGTTTTTGATCAAAGACCCTTAGTTCAGGACTGCAATCATTCTGTTGACTGGATCGGGTGATCGTGGCAGTTTGTGATCCAACTTGCGGGGATGTTTCAAATCTGGCATCGACTGTTGATGTTTTACTTTCGACGATGACAACCCTAACTAATTCATTCCGTGCTATTCCTTATTCTCTTCATCTATGATTCGGTCTCACTTTCCGTTTGTTTTAAATTGTCAGTTATTCCATTAAGACAAAGATTGATATTGTACAGCTGTTCTTCTCACGCAGTTGAGTTCAGTCTCAATCTCAGGTAAGCTCGCAATAACGACATGTGACTGGTCATACATTGTTAGATTTCAACCTAGCTGCCACGACTGTGGTTCGAGGTCACGTCGCATTATCCAGCCTATGCATGACTATTTATGTCACATGACAGTACGAATATCGTGTTGTGAAAGATTGAAAGTTAGTTTTAATCTTGTTCGCTTCGTTTGCAGTCGTTGAATGGATCTATCACCTGCAGCTTTTAATTCTGACTTTGTATTACTTCTTCCGCACGTTCGCTTTATGGTTCATTAGAAACATCGATGCACTCTCCTTCTGAATTATCGAGTCTGATTCTGGTTATGTTTGGCTTAAATATAATAACTACATGATGTCTTCTAGTGAAGTTGCCTCGTAGGCCTGTTGCTCGGAGTGACCCAAAGGGGTGTTTTTGGGTTATCGATAAGGCCCATAGGATGTACACCCAGTAGTGCTTTTATGAAGCAGCTTCTATGGATTTAATAATCTACTTCTGGTTTTCAATTTTAGTTACTGCTGATTTCGTGCTATTTGTTGTTTATGTTGAAGGGCAATTTACACGATTTTATTCACAGAAAGAGTAAGCGGTAACACCATAGTTAAGGAAGAGAAATGTAAGAAAAGGGACATTCAGATCAAGATGTCTGTCTACATAGTTAACAACACTAAACAATTGACAAGTCCTTTCACGGGATTAGCAAATGTTAATAATTCCAATCATCAAATGAAAATTACTTGTGTAATATGTTAACAAAGAGAAAGGACAAAAATTAAAGGTCTTAAGGTCACAGGGGTGCTGTCCCAATCACGGCTCACGCATCGAGAAATGTCCTTCATAATGAGACAACCGTCAGAAGGTAGCAATAATCAAAACCAGATTAGTCGCATAAATGTGTCGTAGGTTTTCTAGGGACCTAAAACAGTCAGTAGACATGAATCCGTGATTATGTAGGAGGGCAGTCCCAGTCGAAGAATCGCACTGCAAGAAGATGGATACATGATACAACGAAAGTGAGTAATC